GGTTCCTTTGATTATAATTTGTAAAACGTATTTAACTAATTTAAACTTATCTATAGATGTGCGACCATGAGCTTCGAATTCAATATGTAGACGCCTCGCATCCTGGTGCCTCTCACGACTCCTTTGTGTGGAACAACAGTGCATTAAGAATTCACTTCGAACAAGAGTATTTGCGGAATTCAGGAAAGTTTTGGCTTCTAGGTAAATGTAGTGAATGTGAAATTAGACCGGTGCCGGTTATCCATTGGAGCCATGGCTTTTGACGCCCTACAGATCACCAGGAGATGATTCGTCGGAAATGAAGTTCAACGAAGCTCACTCGCAATGCCGCAATATTATAGAACGAACTAACGGAGTATTGAAAAACCGATGGAGGTGTATTCTTGGAGCAAGGGAGTTACATTATACTCCAAAACAAGCAGCGAAAATTGTAAATGTGTGTTGCGCGCTACACAACATATGTATATATTTTAAATCGTCCTTAACCATAATCGAAGAAAGAACAGAAATTTTCACCCAATATAATGAGAACGCTGAAGTCATATCAGTGGTCACGCCCCCCTACTTAAATGTAGCCCAAAGCATTAGAAATAGAATTGCAAGCACTCTATAAAATAACCTCTGTTAAAGCTGCTGAAGAAAAAAATTGAAAGGCAACAAATGTATAATTTTTAACGAACATATATTTGCCAATAAAACGGAAAAAAATTCATTTTCTTAGTAATCGTAAATACTAATGTCCTTATTCATGAAAAATAAAATAGGTTTAAAGAGCTTTATAAAGTGACATTTTCATACAAGTTTTCGATTTATAAAGCAATTTATTAATTGAAAATTAATAAATACTTCTGTAAGTAACTGTATGCGTATTCTCGAAACAAAAAAAAAAATCAGCCTTCTATAATAAAATCACATTTCATTGCATCAAAACTCTTAAAAGACTACCAAAACTATTAAAAGATTAACATTGTTATTTAGTTGCATATTTGGATTGTTCCTTTAATTCCTCTATCTTCCGCAGCAATAGATTTTCCTCTAGTTTTGCCTCGATTTCCCTGAGTCTAAGCTTTTCCATAGTTACATTATGGCGTTTAATTTCTTCTAGCTCAGAAGAATTTATTTGTTCCATCGTTTTAAAATGTGGTTTTTGGACAACATACAAGCTGTCAAGCGTCCGATATAGCTTCTTCATGCTTCGCTCTTGCTCAATCATACCGTTCTTTAATATATTACACATTTCGCGCTGAATATTAAGCTCTTCGGCTAACACACCAGAAGCATGGCCTTTTTGCTTTGGCACCTCCTTTCGCACAGGTGTAGGCTTACAAAATATCACTGAACTATGCTCGCTTTCGCCAATACCATATATTTCAATTTCCTCCTCTATTTCTTCAAATGCTTAATTTCGTGTAGTTATTGTTTCCTGTCGTTGCGGTGTGTTTCTTCTCGTTGAGATAGTGTTTCTTCTAGTTGAGGTAGTGGTTCTTCTGTTTCGTTTGTCTCAACCACGTCCAATCCAAAGGGCTTCGCTACACCTATCACCGATTCTTTCATTCCAATCAATTCAAATATCGCACTCTCGGTGGCAGAGAATTTGTACTCAATATTAGGACCACCACCTGTGCCTTTTCTTTGCCTGTTGTTGTTGGCTGCTTTCTGCCGGACGTATTTTTTCTGATCTGCCCAAACCTGAGATATTGGGCATTAATTTATTTGAACAAACTGTAACGTAGCAATTCACTACGAAACAATAGTACACAGCACGTTGGAGTACATACGCACCCCACCGTACACACATATCCCACTATACATACATACAGACACCACTGTACACACATAACAACGCATATACATACCTTCCGATACATATCGACAACGTACAAACGAAGCATACACACTCCACTGCACATATATATACCACCGTACACTCTTTGGACATAAGGTTGCTAGCACTCTAGTCGTAGCGCCGTGTGTGTGTGTGTGTTCGAAGTAAATACACTAAAATAGTGTGTTTTATTTGGTGGGGGTTAGTGGGACCTTCGCCGGACTCTGGATCGGCTGAGTTCACCTCAGCCTTTGACAAAACCCACCTCATAA